GTGACCTGCAGTGGAGAGTTGAGGACCAACCAGTTATTTTTGATGTGCTCTGTTTGGAGCAGGTAAACATTCCAACGTCCAAGAGTTCAGTCGGGGAGAGTGTTTTTAAATTGATTGTTTGCTTTTTTTGTGCTAGTGCAGTCGATGAAGTTAAAAGTCAAAATTGTCCCTATCAGTCACGTAGTTTCAGCATGCTGAGGTGTGTATCCCTCGTTAACCCTGCAGACTTGGCACAGCCGAGCATTGTGGGGAAATGAGGTCAGCCCTACCCACACAAGCACATTGAAACAGCACTATCTAACATCCATTTAGGCTCACAGTATGTTGAAACCTTTTCTTGTCCTTATCTGAGCCACATTAACAAACACACGCACACACCCACACACACACACACACACACACACACACACACACACACACACACACACAATATGTCACCTCAGGCTCAGCTGGTCTTGAAATAATCAGGCGTCCGTGACCAGACTGTTATCGGACTGATGATGAAGCTTGTGTCAATATTCTGACAGGGGTGTGAGAGACTCACACTGAAGGAAACTGTCCTTAACCAGCGGCCCCTTTAGTCCAACACAGGAGGACAACACAATGTCAACAAGTCTTGCTGGACTTATATCAAGTGGGAGTGTAATGGCTTTCTTGTGATTACCTGGATGTATTATCCTAACCCTCTTATTGAGTAGGCCTGAACACATTCTCTGACACCCAAAGAACATTTTTACTGAAGCGTACAATTTTGAAATACAGGTACATTATTTTGTGACTTTGTGATGGAACTGATGATCATTTCCTCACTCCCAAACTGTGGAGAAATACAAACTATAGAGTGCTGCAGGATAGAGTCCTAAAACTTTGAAATGAGTAAGCATTTTAGCATGCTAAAATTATTAACATGCTACCAGTGAGCATGTCAACATCCTACATCAGCATGTTGACATTCAGTAGTTGCCAAACATGTTGCATACTAAATAAATAGCATTTCATAGGGAAATGTAGCGCAATTTCCTACACAACTTTTTTTTTTAATTTAAGCTGTAGTAACCGGTTATTTTGCAGCTCATAAAATGTAAAGCATTAATTTACACATGAAGGCCTTGATCACACAGGTAGTGATTTTCTTTTGTCCAAAGTCTCTCTTGAAGTAATGGCATGTAAAATGATTTTCCATGTAAGGCGTATTTTTTTCTCATCACAAAAAGCAACCATGGTCCTACAGACAGTACTCACGTTTTTAGTGAGTGAACACAGAAAACTGACTAAATACTCATTGCATTCATACTGTAAGGTACGTGGTTTTATCGAAAACAAAAAATTCAAAAAATGGAGTTATCTCCAACTTTTTTTTGTTTACGTCCACTTCATTGATGTAAGTCGGTTTGAATTCCTTGCCTCATGGCACCAGAGCTACATTAATATATGCAACCAGGACATATAAGGTGACTAGCAACACATACCCACACTCAAAACTGTGGGACCCTAACTACACATACATTAAATATACAATCTCAAGTCCAATATTGCTGTGAACATGATATGCATTGTATGATTCCTCTTAAGTTCTTCTTGGAATTGTTTCCACCACTGATATTACAGTGCAGGACAGATCCCAGACGCTATATCATTCTCCTGCTCAGACAGTGGAATGGTACGATTGGAAAGGGGGGGATGGGAGTGGTAAATGATTAGCCAGACGTGTTAAACTAATTGATCACACGATTCACGATGAGAATGAGGCCAGGAGTCACCTGCCTCGTGTCTCAACCTTTGAGTGAAGAAAGCGTGTATGAAGCAGCAGCTGTGAAATGCCCACGTTTCAGTTTTTGACCCATATGCTGCTATGTCAGAGTTCTACAGGACAAAACCATTAGTCAGAGATAAGACAGGACATTTTTCAACATTTTAGATAGTAGATCACCAGTACAAGTTTAAAGCTGTACATTTAATACAGTAACACTTGTTTCCTGTGAATAAAATACATAAAGTTGTGCTCCTCTTATAGCGTGATTGTTTTTTTTTTTCTTACTGTCGCTGCTTTGATCATGAGGAGTCCTGTCAGCCATATCTATTGATCTATTTCTGTCTCTCTTTCTCAGTCGTCCACGTAGATAATTTGCCATTCTATTCATTATATTTCATACACATTAGTGTATCTCCATTATGTCTTGCCCTATTGCACTCACTCATTACGTAGTGTTTTTACTGCAGTGATCCAGCGGTGACCTCTGGTGGCACATCCTAACTGGTCATGTTTCTGTTGCTGTGCAGAAATTGTAATTCTAAAAAAAAATTCAATAACATCACTTGAGAATCACTTAATCACACACAATGGTCAGGTATTATCTCTTGCTGAAATCAATCTTTTAAAGACCTTATTACATATCAATATTGTGTAATGATACAGTTAGAACATTCTTCATTCATTTGTTATGAATATCAATGCTTTATTCTGGATTTATTGAATTGGTTATTGACCAACATTTTGCAATTCTAAACCTTTTCCAGCAGAGAGCAGCAGAGATAAGCTGAACTCAGGATTCAAACTAATGCAGCTGCTTGAAACCAGGGTTGGACAAACATGGGCTGCAGAAGAGTCTGCTGTTTAGTCTTTCCAAACAAACAGGAAGCAGCAGCAGCAGCTGATTTCACTGATGAAAACATTTTGAAGTGAGAAAAAAAAAAATATGTTTGCAACAAGATTGCCTTCCACTAATTTGTACCAAGTCAATGGAATGACCTCCCAAATGAATTTAAAACTCAACTCTTATCTCATTGGATGAATGAATTTTTAGATGTGTGTGATTGCTTCTGATGCTGTTTGCATGTGCTTGTTTGTGGCTGTGTTCTGTTGTGTCTCATAGTAGTCTTCTGCTGTAGTCCAGATCCTCTTGCAAAGATCTTTATCTCAATGACAATACCTGATTGTATAAAAGTTATAATCGTAATAATAACACAGTATATTGTTTTTAAATGTCTTGAAATCAGATGTACACATATTACACCATAAGTCATTAATTTGTCTTAAATATGAATCACTGATAGTCAATCATTGGACACAAGCACTGGTGTGGCTTTTTATGCACGACAGCCCAAAAACGTACAGTACCTTTAACATTGAGTTATCTCTAGTGACTTAATGTTCTTGTAGATGTAGATCAAAGGGTAAGACTTTGTTTTAATTACAGATTGTGACGAAAATTCTGATCCGCTGATGTGATTGTTCGGCTGGTGAAGAATGTTCGGTGCCAGAGAGGTTGGTAGTTCAAATCCAGTGTGCAACTTAAAATATACAGTCTAACCAGGAGACAAGAAATCAGTTCGACTACAAAGTTGTGTCTTTAAGTTTCTTGAAAGACGATAGAGAATACTGTTTCCCACAAAGGTTTAGTGCTTTCATCCGCAGCTCAGCAGAACCTTAGATTTGTTTGACAGTGTGCATGGTGGTGAGTGCCCACAATGACCGAAGAGGGAGAGGAAAAATGAAGATGGTAGAGAAAAGCTGAGGAATAAAAGCTGAGCTGAGCCGAGGCAGAGAGCTGCCAGACCCTCACTGTGCCCGAGTCCTTATAGGCAGAACGCCAGCGTCCAACATGGGGGGTCTTAGTGTCCGAATCTATGGAGGATCTGACCCATGCTGCTCCCTGCTGTGTGTGTGTGTGTGTGTGTGTGTGTGTGTGTGTGTGTGTGTTGCACCAAAACAATCAGGCGACCATGGAGATGTGAAGTGGGAGAGGTGATTATGATGTGGTTATTTCAGTCCTGGATCTGAAAAGCCTGTAATAACGGGCAATATAGGCAATCCACCAATTTTGGTCTTATGTGACCTTTGGATTTTCGACACAACACTGGGGCTAACGTTGGGGTGGTCTAGCAGAAAGTCTCAACTTCAGCATACATACACATTGGTAAAGCTACATGCAAAGCAAAGCCTGTGACAAAGTGTGTGATAGTAATATCCTGAATACATGAGATGAGACACATACATAAGGAGTGCAGATGGCTTCATACAGGGTTCACTGGATTGTTTGATATATGATGTAAACTAAGGCCTCTGCAGTCGCAGCGGACGTTTTTTATAACATCTAAACATCAGCCTTATAGGGCCAGTGTTATTTAATTAGCATCTTAGAATTGTAACTTTACAATATTATCTTGTTCTTAGTAGACAAATGGATGAATGAAGGAACGGATTAACTAATGGATAAATGGATGCAGATTTGGGAGAAATGTATGATCCCAGGTCTAATCAAGCAGAGCAGAGAGTTGTCCCAGTTCACACTAAAGTTCTTTAGATTAGTTTGGGTGGGCTAGTGTGTGTGTGTGTGTGTGTGTGTGTACTTGTTTTAACTTACAATTAAGTTAACTTAACTTACAATTAAAATGAAAAAGAAATCTTCCAAAATCAAATCCATGATGTCGCATCTTGGTTTGGGTCAGTGCATGTACCTTTAGGGTATTGACTGAAATAAGACGAGGTGGTACTAAAACCTCCTCAGTCAAAACATACCGAATCAATCCTTTTTGTGGCCAGATCTAGAAACAAATTACTTATTACCTCCAATTCCACTGTGAAGGTGGAAGGTTTCTCTCAAAGTTACAGTTGTCCAGTACATGAATCCCCCAAGCTGTTTATTTTCACTCCAGAGCACAACAGAGCAGTTTGCAGCAGCAACATGCAGCCACAGATCAATGGAAGAGCCAAAAATAAGAAAAGTGCAGCTGCTTGGAACACTGGTGCTCTATAACTCCTCTAACCAATTTTCTGCTGTATTTTCTTCATTCGTACTGCTGCAATACAGCATCACTGGGAATACATCAACAAACTGTAAAATAACAAATTCCATTGTATTATGACATTGTTATCCTGTATTGACCAAAAAAGTCGCCCCATTATATCTATATTTAATAATTTGCATCTCTGAGGTGAACGTGTGAGTGTTTTAAATGACGAGGTAGAGCTGGAAAAACATTTATTTATTGAAACAATATTGTTTTTATTGAAGAATTCCAGAAACAATGTTAACATTTCTTTAAAAAATTAAAAAAATAAAAAATAAAAAAGGCTAACTGCCACAAATCACATCCAATAGTAACCAGGTTGTTTATACAGAGCAGTTACACAAAGTTTATACAAAATATTAGTTACCCATCACAAAAATAAACTAGTAATCACTACTATTATCGCCATCATCATCAATGGTGATCATTGATTGATTGTTCACCAAAACACTATTTTTATTTGTTAGTCAGAAAGTAAAAAAATTACACATTTTAAACAGCTCAACTACAACAAAGTTTATACGACATAACACATTCCAAAGCTAAATATGCTTAATTAACACAAAACTTAAGTAATCAGAATGGTTCATTTTCCTCCATTCAAATACTGTTCATCTGTTCCCTCCCCATGGATTTACGTCAGCAGATGGAGTGTGCAATGACTTGGAGGGACATTTAGTGAATTGTGGCTTTTAGTTAGTATTGATAGGTTTAATATAATGGTTTTGTATAATTCGCCAGGTCTTAATTGACTATCCACTTTAAGTTGCAAATTAGATGCCAGGTGGCCCCATTTTTTAAACGTCTACGTTTTTAAAAAGCTCATATGAACAAGGTGTTTTGTTTTACGGTTAAATCAAAGTCAAAGTCACTGAAATCTCCACATTTACTTTATAGTTAAACAGCTGTGGAAGACAAAAATAATCTAAATTATTTTTACAAATGAGCTGCCTGGTGTTTCCTGTATAATAAAGAAAAACATCTTTCTATGGGTTGTTTTCAGATTGTGAACTCGCACCATCATGTATCAAAAATGAGATTTGCATTTCCTTCATAATTTCCCATCAACCCTCAAAAAACTTGACAAAGAACGAGCAGACGGAGTGCCATCCCTCACTGCAGTAAGTCTGCACAGGCTCCATGTCGTTCACCACTCCTTCCTCGTTGAACCCAGTCCAATCCTCCTGCTTGTTCTCCTCTCCCTCCTCCTTCTTCTTCCTCCTCTCTACCTTCCCTCCGTCTGAGCTCTTACTGGCCGGCGGTACTCTCTTCTTCCCTCCCTTCCTCTCCTCCTCTCCACTGCGTTGGGCGAGCTTCATGTGGGCCTCGGCGGGAGCCTTCTTGCAGGTTTTAGCCTTGAGGACTTTCTCTCCTTCGCAGGCGTTCTGCCTCTTCTTCAGCTTCCCCACTAGCTGCTTCCAGTACTGGCTGGACTTCACTCCATAGGCCTGGCAAAGGTCTGGTTTACCAGCGTAACGACACCAATACCTAGAGGAGAAGTGAAGCAAAAACACGGAGATCAGAGAGTTTTGATAAGGACAAGCGTGAGTAGAGGTCAAAAAAGAAATTGAAGTTAGTGAACAATTAAAGCAATTCATTAATAATTAATAATTTCATATTTCTTAGTGAAAGAAACAATCTTATTTTTTTTCTGCATAACCAGGTGTGCAACCTGAACCTAACCATGATGTGAGCCATCGTCTCTGATGTCAAAGTGCTGAATTTGTCAGATATGTTTGAGTATTACTAACAAAGACTGTCCTGAACAGAAGGAATCTTTAAACGTCACTCACTGGTTGACTTTATGTTCCTGCTATAGCGTCAAACAGGAACAGACTGTCCAACTCAGCTGTTCCGTCTAAATCATAAATATGTATTAAATGTTCCCCATTATCAGTTCAGTCCAGAATTAAAATAATCACCACATGATTTGAATAATAAGCTCCAGTTTTGTCATTCTCACTGTGTTAACTCCTGAATTATTTAAATGACTGAAAAAGACTTTAATTCAAAATGACACTTTAGTCAGTTTCACAGGTGACGTCAAGGTGAATTACGGTATCCATTGCGAGACGTTTATGTCTCAGGTGAGCTATTACTATTAATGCTTCCATCACCTCTGCTGGACTCCCAGTGTTTCAGTGCTGCAGTTCACCAGCAAGCGGACCAGGCCTTCACCAGACGTCTGCCAAGTGCAGCTATGGCCCTCCTTGGTGGTCAGCTCTCCAGAGCCCGGCACTGAACGATTTCTAGCTCTCTTGGCTGGTTGCGGTGACGGTGGAGGCTGACGGGGTTTTTCGGGTTTCTCCTCACCAGGCTGCCGCTTGGCTTCAGGGACGACGGGGAGGCAGAGGAGGAGGAGGAGAAGGAGGAAACTGCATGGCAGGACACTCATGGTGGCTGGAGACATTTGGACACAGAAAAAAAAGATAAAAGGTCTACTTTTGCTTTTGCTTTGTGTTGAAAGTCAATGTCATCCACTTAAAGATCATAGTTTTAGTTTTGTGACATAGAACAACCCACAAAACCCTACCTGCCTAGCTCGAGAAGAAAATGTAAAATGTATCACGTAAAGAGACAGGTATGTTTCTCAGGAGTTGGTGGAGACCAAAAGCAGAGCTAAAACTAAGGGAATATTGGGCTTACATTTATCAGGTGAAACAAATACAAAAACAAATAATTACACACTGGATCCTACATTTTCCACAATGAAACTCCATTGATTCTTTTGTTAGGCCATTTGTGCCTGGTAAATGTCCATGTGCCCATCATCAGGTTTAGGTTTTAGTATTTAGAAAGCTCCCCCCCCAAAGCCAAGGAGAACATTGTTTCACAGGCTGAGTACTACTCACAGTTAAATGTAAACTGAACTAAACAAAAAGATAGGAATAAATGCTATTTCTCCATCCATTTATCAAACGTAACAGACTCATGTCCCTCACCCCAGCACAGCTTTCGAGCTCTTCCTGGGGAACCCTGAGGCAATCCCAGGTCAGATGAAATCTATATAATCCCCCAGGTCCTCTTGGCATTCTGGTCAGATGCCCGGACCCATTCAGTTGGCCCCTTTCAATGCAAAGGAGCAGTAGCTCTACTAGGAGCTCTCTCCGAATTTTTTAGCTCCTCATCTCTAAGTCTAGGCCCAGCCACCCTTAAGCACATGAACAAAGGTGAGGGTCTGACCGTATACGGTGGACTGGTAAATCGAAACCTTTGTTCTTAGGGCTCAACCCTCTCTTCACCACAACGATCAGATACAAGGATCATTCTGAAGGAGCCAACGGAACCACATCGTCTGCAAAGAGCAGAGACGCAATTCCGAGATCCCCAAACGGGACACTCCCCTCGTTATGCCCAGAAATCCTGTCCATGAAAACCACAAACAGGATTGGTGACAAGGAGCAACCCTGGTGGAGGCCAACACGCACTGGAAACATATGTCACTTTGTGCCAAGTATACGGACACAGCTCTCACTTTGGTTATACAAGTGCTGAATGTCTCGTAGCAACGAGCCCGGTACCCTGTATTTTCACAGTACCCACCACAGGATTCCCCGGGGCACACGGCCTTAAAGATGGAAACCACCAACCAGGTCTGCCACTCCACAGTCACTGTCCCCATCCTTCATACCACACTGAAGAGGCATGTCAGCCAAGACTGCCCAACAATGTCCCAAATCATTTCCTCATTGATGTAACTCACAGTATCCCTACCACATATTTAACAAAGGTCAAAGGAAATGTTCAAAAAAGCCCTGTGAGAATGAGAGCTCTATAAATCAGCGGTGTATTTCAATACTCCAAACGAGATCTTAGGAGATAAAATAACAATATATAGACACTTGTAGTTTCAACAATATAACATGTAATTTGAAGTAATTCTCTGTGTCTGAAGGGATTCAGCATTACTAATCTTTGAAAAGAGATGTTTTTGTTGCATAAACAGTATTCAAGAGGTCCAGAATGTCATAGAGTGACACAGCACGAGTGTTAAATGTTTTTTTTTAAATGGACAATGAACACAGAGTCTCTGTCAGTGACTTATTGAAAGTCAGCCAAGCGTCAGAAACACCCCCTCAAGATGTCCCAGACCGGACATGCAGCTATCAAACATCAAGCACGGAGGAAGGGAAGGTGGAGGAGAGGATTACAGCTAAACTCCTATTAATAATTCATTTCCACATGTATTTCTCTTTTACACAAAAACAGTAGTATCAAATACAACACATATAGCAATATTCTAATATTGATTTTAGCAAAGTCAATACATTTATAAAACAAATGAATCTAAAGGTAAAATCCCTTTGTCTCTTCTGCCTGCAGTCGATTTGTCAAGTTAGGTGTTGTGTGTTTAATTAACGGCCTTTGCAATCAGCAAAGTAAGCAATTAGTCTGAATTAATGAGCCTGTGTACCACTGTGCCCCTGGGTCAGTGTATAAACACTGAACAGGTTGTATCCCTGTACCAATATACCGTTAATGATGTTATACAGTGCAAACAACAAAACAGGTTGTGAGGTTTCATAATTATTCTGATTAATAATGTTTGTTTTTGTGTTGTAATGAGGTGGAAAATTAAATCAATAGTAGATTATGCTCCAGAGCTCTTCGTGTTTTTGTTTCGGTTATAGCCAAAGCGCTCTCTGAACAAATGTGCCAACCAGGCACTTTACTGCAATTATTATATTTATTTATCTATATTTCCCATTGGGAAGCAAAAAAAAAAAAAAAAAATACACTCCATATACTGATCCCAGAGCTTTTCTGCTCATTGTCTCATTGCAAAACTGTAAATTACATTTTAGTCTAGTGCAGTTGGATCGACCAAGGAAGCTACTTCTATTAGTGTCTCAGTGTCTATCTTGATTTATATAAAAGAGTATTGTTTCCGTAATGGAAAACTGAATGATGTGACTGAGTAGACACAATATAAAAGATATTACACGACAAGTTGTGCGCTTCATGATTATGAATCAGTGAGGAACGTAAAACTCATAAGCAGAATCATATCATCGATCAAGGCCACTCGCCAACAAACAACCTTATACAAACAAATGTAAGAAATAGCTGTCATTCATTTACTTTTATAACTACTTTATTATGAATACATTTACTAGAGAGTTAGTGGGCATGGTTTCTACTTTATGTCCATGCAGCACAAAAAAAAACACATTCCACTTACACTGTCACTGTCTAAAATCACTGGTTTGTCCAGCAAGGAAACAAAATTCTATATGTAGGGCATTGTAAATATTACAACAGCATGTAAGGTTTACCACAAGATCTCCTCCACCTGTATAATACAAAAAATAAAGCAATACATGTGAACCAATCAGAGTTGAGAATTCTCCGATGCCATGGTATGCTTAATAATTGACTTTGAATGGTGATAAGTGCTCATGGTTTGAAGATTATACCCCACTCTGGCCTGTGCCGTTACAAAATATAGCACACAGAGGTAAACCATTAGCATCTATTCTGTGCTTTGTCCTTCCATAAGGGATCATTGTGCATCTTAGTCAAAGAGGGATCAATGTCAGTCAACATTTCATTTCACTTTACAAAGTGTTGCCGAATGTAAATACATTTTTTTTGTGTAGTTACTTATTTTTTATCATTTGTAAAATGTAATTTTGTGTCTACAATGAGTGCAGATCTCTGACATGTGTGTCTGCAACAGCCACTGCTGTATTATGTGATTGACTCAATACAACAGACAATTGGCTAACCCCCCACGTCTAGACACCAATTGGCCTTAATGCCTTGTTGAACGCATTTCATTCAAACTCAAAACAAGCAGCGATGTATGTAGGCCATACGCTCAAAGTCTTTGTATGAGAAATGTCATCACCAAGGTCTCTGCCCGCGTAGCAGCAGCTGAGAGGCGGCGATGTACTCAGCAGTGAGTGCACTGGTAGCTCCACTAGCTGTTAGCCAAAAACATTGAGTTTGGCTAAATAAATATGCAAAGAAATAATGTCAAAATTAAAAATGTAATAATATGTATTTGGTTTCCCGAAGTAAATTCTCTTGCGACAATATCTGTCAGAGAAAAACCATCAAGTTGCTTCTTATAAAAGAAGAAAGTGAGGCCACTACCCTGCATTCATTAGCTGTAGTTACTAGTTAATAACAATTGAACGTTTTATATATATAATAGTGTCCCCTTTTCTCTCAAACTGGTTTGAGGCGATGACTTTTTTTTTCTCCCTTTCAGATTATTTTTAGAAGTTCATGTTCATCTTGAAATAAGAATAATAACAAAAACAAAAAAATCACATCATTTGGCAATATGAAACAGCTTTCCACTGCAGCGTTTTAAAACGAGTTTCTGGGAGATAGAAAACAAAGACAGACAGCACCAAAACAAAAATAATCCCCCCTTCCATGCACACCCCCCACCGCTCCAAATGCACCCCTCATCAATAAGTCATGACAAAAAAATAGGTCTTTCTTCTTTGTCTCTCGCGCTCTAATATTTGGTTTGACAGCTTTAGGAAGATGCAGAAATGCAGAGTAGTTTAGTGTTCAGGGTTTGTTAGTCAGTGTGAGCAGAGGCCCGGTGTTCTTACCATGTGACGTTCCACGGCTCAGAGTCGCTGTGGGAATGTGGGGACCACAAACACTTGGATAAAAGAGGGGAGAAGACGAGGATAAAGGAGGAGAGGGTGGAGGAAGGAGGGGGAATGAGTAGGACTATACGAAGAACTGCCCACCCAAAAACCAAAAACACCTCCCACATTTACCCCTCCTGACAAAACC